TCTTCAACCGTTAATTTTCCCTCGCAAATTTGAACATCAGTATCAGAGAGTTTTGGCATTTCAGGATTGTTTAAAAAAGAGTTTAACGTGTGTTCAGATGGGCTAAGAGGGTCACGCTCACAAAGATTAGAATAAAAATTTTGAATTTTTTGCAATATTTTTTTAGGATCCGTGATAAGAACTCCATTATCGTCAAACACCTTACGGACAGAACTCTTAGCTTTCTTATGTGTTTCGAGGTTTAAAAAGAACTTATTGCTTTTTTCTCCTTTTTCATACCAAGTGGCTTTCGATCGGATTATAGCACCTTTTGCTATCTGTTCATAGATAGAATCATATTCCATTTTTAACAATTCAAACTCTTCCTGGTTCTCAGGAGTTGGTGAACTACCGCATCTCTCTTCCGAAATCTTCAAAGAAGCCTCAATATCAGAGATCTTTCTTCTCCTTTCACATGCGGAATATCATGGGTTTCCTACGACCGAAATATTTTTTTTTCGAAAGGGTATTCTTTTCCCTTTCCAATGAGGTATAGCTTCATATTGAACTGTAAATAACACCAGAGATATGATTTTTTAAAGTTACATGGCAAAATACATTAAAATAATTTGGGGTGTTGATCTTCGGAGTCGAGGTAAGGACATAGCCAATTAGAAGGGAGACGTTATTCCATTTTTCAACTTTCGCCTCATTGACAAAGTTTATTCCCAGTAAATACAAACCGTATTAGTAAAGTAAAGGTTCTTTGTTAGAAGAAATCAACACAATTTTGTGTGCGGTCAGCCGGGGTGGTCGCTTTAAGTCCCGTTTCCACCCAGGTCTTCCAAGGTTTTGTTCTTGTATTCTGTTTCATACCATTTTAAGTGATTCTTGGAGGAGTGTAAGGGAGGGCTAATAACCCTTATGGTTTAATCAGACAAGCTCTGTTTTGAAATTTTAACTTTGCGAATTTTTGCATAAAAGAATTCCCACGGAAGAAGAGTTGAAAAGAATGCGACCTTCGCATAAACGAGATTTGGTGGTGATTTTTTTTCCTTAAAGTTATCATTCATATTCTAACGGCTTTTCGAAGGGGGCCCGCAGATTGCGAAACAGGATTATGGTTTTTTTTTTTTGCGATTTCAGGCCACTGAAAGCTTCACCCTTGTCGAGCACTCCACGCCCACCTTGCCTGATTGACCGGTTTGGCATGGTCCGTCTAAAGACTAGCTCGATCTTTTACCAACTTCGTTCCCACAAACCAAATCAAACTAGTGCTGTTGGGAGACGTGGCATTCGGTTGACGTTTTTTTTTTTTTTTTGGCCCTAAACGGCCGAAGAGAAGACAAGAAGGTCTAACCATATTCAGATTTTAGGGCAAAGGCAACATAATTATTCTCTTCGCTTATTTGAAGACCTGGGTTGCGGGCGAAATTCGAGACTGATAGAATGTACGGGATACAGGATCCTCGAAAATAACCATTATACGGGATTGAGTGAAAATTTAGGTCAGGATGACGGGATCAAAGAACCCTATCAGAGACCCTTCTGAAGACGTTTACATTGTCTAATTCTGCTTGTTTGTGAAAGGTTGAATTCAATGTCTTTTTGAAATGATTCTTTTTTAATTATTTATTATTATTATTGCTATTTTTTTGGCTAGAATGACACTTTTCGTTGATTGAACTAATGCAGTGTACTTTTCTTACAGTTGAGGGCGATGAGGCGTCTTCGTGATCATGAAGAGCACTCCATCTGCAACAACTTCCGTCTTCCTCAACCTCTGAATGGGCGCATTGTCACCAAATATGAGGGTTAACAGGTGGAACTAGTTATTTGGCTCCTGATCTCTGGATGGGGGCGACAGAATACAATCAAAGAGTCACTAACAATATTTTATCAGTTTCGTGATAAAAAAAATAGCTAGCCAGGGCAAGGGGGTACTATGAGAAATAAAGAGTCTTCTCATTGTGCGTTTTATTTTGTCTTTCGTTGTTACTTTCGGCAAAGTGTGCACAACCGAAAAGGCAGTATAAAGAGAGCTCTCCCACCCTCATTACAGGAGCATTATCTTCAGGAACTTCCTTAAAGTCATATTTTAATTCGTTAAAGATTGACTTCTGCTGCGAGAGCCTTTTTCTCTCATTCCCTTACAAACAAGTACCTACGTAGTCTTAGCTTGCAATAATTTCTCCATTAAATTCAGCATTTCGTTGTTCAACGATTTCTCCAAAACTGAGCTTTTGATTGCCATGAAATCATCTTATTTCAAGGTTCTCGATCACTTTCTGAAAAGCAATGATCCGGCCGCACAAAACTGAGCAAGGTAAAAATCTGCATTTCAATTTATATGAGACGAGGGTAATTTATCTCTCCAAGAATTATTTTTACAACTGAACTTTATTATAAAAGTCTTCAAATTCGTAAGTATTTATAACGATTACGCAGGACCTTTGTCATTTGACAAAACCTCATGTAAGGGAATGCAAGACAGTCTTGGATTCTGGATTCCATGCCGTGGATTCTGGATTTCAGGTAATGAATTTCNTCTAACCATATTCAGATTTTAGGGCAAAGGCAACATAATTATTCTCTTCGCTTATTTGAAGACCTGGGTTGCGGGCGAAATTCGAGACTGATAGAATGTACGGGATACAGGATCCTCGAAAATAACCATTATACGGGATTGAGTGAAAATTTAGGTCAGGATGACGGGATCAAAGAACCCTATCAGAGACCCTTCTGAAGACGTTTACATTGTCTAATTCTGCTTGTTTGTGAAAGGTTGAATTCAATGTCTTTTTGAAATGATTCTTTTTTAATTATTTATTATTATTATTGCTATTTTTTTGGCTAGAATGACACTTTTCGTTGATTGAACTAATGCAGTGTACTTTTCTTACAGTTGAGGGCGATGAGGCGTCTTCGTGATCATGAAGAGCACTCCATCTGCAACAACTTCCGTCTTCCTCAACCTCTGAATGGGCGCATTGTCACCAAATATGAGGGTTAACAGGTGGAACTAGTTATTTGGCTCCTGATCTCTGGATGGGGGCGACAGAATACAATCAAAGAGTCACTAACAATATTTTATCAGTTTCGTGATAAAAAAAATAGCTAGCCAGGGCAAGGGGGTACTATGAGAAATAAAGAGTCTTCTCATTGTGCGTTTTATTTTGTCTTTCGTTGTTACTTTCGGCAAAGTGTGCACAACCGAAAAGGCAGTATAAAGAGAGCTCTCCCACCCTCATTACAGGAGCATTATCTTCAGGAACTTCCTTAAAGTCATATTTTAATTCGTTAAAGATTGACTTCTGCTGCGAGAGCCTTTTTCTCTCATTCCCTTACAAACAAGTACCTACGTAGTCTTAGCTTGCAATAATTTCTCCATTAAATTCAGCATTTCGTTGTTCAACGATTTCTCCAAAACTGAGCTTTTGATTGCCATGAAATCATCTTATTTCAAGGTTCTCGATCACTTTCTGAAAAGCAATGATCCGGCCGCACAAAACTGAGCAAGGTAAAAATCTGCATTTCAATTTATATGAGACGAGGGTAATTTATCTCTCCAAGAATTATTTTTACAACTGAACTTTATTATAAAAGTCTTCAAATTCGTAAGTATTTATAACGATTACGCAGGACCTTTGTCATTTGACAAAACCTCATGTAAGGGAATGCAAGACAGTCTTGGATTCTGGATTCCATGCCGTGGATTCTGGATTTCAGGTAATGAATTTCGGATTCTTTGTCAGTAGAACTGGGATTCCGGATTGCAATCGTAAGGGAGATTCTGGATTCCTTGAGTTGTATTCCGGACTCCACGAGCCCAGGATTCCGGATTCCACAAGAAAAATCTCCCGTATTCCGGATTCTACAAGCAAATATATCCAGAATTCCAGAATCCGGATTCCCTTGCATGAGGTGAAATTACTCATTTTCGCGTCCAAGCAATGCTTGATCGTTTAGACCGGGCTAAAAATCGTTTGTACACTGCTTAATTTCATCCACAGTCAAAAGGGTATGACTAAGTGTTTCCAAATTAAAAGTCGGGATTAATTTTGTGCACGTTCTTTAGCAAAAAGGAACTGTATTCTCAATTTTTAAACATTTCAAGGTCTCCAGGAAAACACTTTTCTTCCCATTCGAACATTTATACCATTAAATTCAGAGCTTGACCATTCCTCCTTTGTATCATAAGCTAAATGTAGAATAAAACGGCGTATAAATATGAACAGGCAGGTAAGTATTATACTTCGGGGCATATTGTCGAATGCGATGAATGTCAGTTTACACAGCTGGACGAAACCAATTCGGCTTTTAGTCGTTTTGCCAAAGGCTTTAGGTAAAATAAACCGAAACCCAGTCTCTCTTTCGTTTTCAATAATATCAGCATTTGTATGACCGTGTGGTACTATATTTTCTAATTTTCTCGCATAAGTCTTTTTTCTAATTGGTTGAGGACAAACGAAATAAAATATGTCGTCGCATATCAAATAAACTGTTCACAGTCCCCTGTTTTTTCGTAAGATCGTCAGGATCGAGCGCTTGCCGGTACATGCGGCCATCCTGGTTTCATACATATCGAGCTGGGGGCGGGAGTCGGGGTTTATGACACTAATGGCATCCGAGATGGCCGCCTGAAACGCAAAGCAATCAGAATCTCCACGATCTTACGGATAAATAGAAGGAACAGTCAAATCAAATAACCACCAGCAAGATATATTGCCACGCAGTGGCTTTCTAATCTGGTAGAAATGTTACTTAGCGGCGTAGACTCCATTTGAGTACATTTTCCTTCTCTTCTGGCTGCAAAACACCGTTCTAGTTGTTGCTTTTCCGCATATCTATATGTATTTTCTTGTTCGTGACGTGATATGGTAATTACTTCCAAACGAACTAATGCACTTTCGGCGAAGATTCTCCTTCGTGCTCCTGTGTGAATTCCTCTGCGTGAGGCAACGCCAAATGCCATGAATATTATATATTTATACCACTATTGTCTGCCTTAGATCGAACATACAACGCAAGGCAATGCCATCGGTTTATTATGGCTTTCAGTGCACGAGGCTCCAAGGCATTTATATGCAACAGGTTGTAGAAATGGTCCCTGAGAACCAGTCGTATTGCTCTTATCCACGCCCTGCGCGTCGGCGTTTACACAGATAAGCTTGGAGCCCGCAGCCCCACCTTCCTGTGTCATTAAATACCCGGCATACTCCTTTTTCCACGAACCCGATTGGCAAGTGTCTCGGCCTGGAGTAACGATCGTGACAGTTCGTCTGTCTCGCAAGCACACAGCACACGGAATTTGAAAGTTATCGAGTCTTTTGAACAAGTGAGGGTGATTTAACTTCAAATTCTTGCATCTTGTAGCTCCAATTTCTTGGCATTGGCTTTCAAGGAAAACTGTGAAAATGTCTAGGTTTGCAGCGTATCTAACGGGTGACAAGTAGAGTCCGCTTGACATATTTTCGTGCTTGGGATATTCAATTCGATCCGGAATGCACATGTATTCCGAGCCAAGTGAATGATGGGAGCCGGAATGAAGCGTTGCAGTTCTCCCTGATTTGTAAGACAATAAAGGAGTAAATAAGTCTATGTGTGAAGGAAGACCTTAGACAACGATGACCTCAACCAGGTTGTGACGTCCAGCGGTTTTAGTGCAATGAAGGGTTTGTGTGGGGTGCTCGGTCTCGTGGGCGCATAAAACCTGGTCTCCGTCGTTCTTATTTAAAGATTTTCATGTATGAATAGCCTGCGTGGCAGGCGCGTGCTCAAAGGGAATGGCAAAAGGGAATTTCGGGTGCGTGAGAAGCGCAAAGGGCGCCCTCCTACTTTCTCCATCGCGCGCGGTTTCGCGCCCAAATTCCTTGCCCTTCCCTTTCTGATGCCTGCCACACTGCCGGCTAGTCTATGAAAGGCCATCATTACAAGTGTACCCCTGAGACATTATTATCCATTCAAAGCGTTTTCCCATATACCAATGACGGAGGTTTGACAGTGCGGGTTATAAGCAAAATGTGAAAATACCAACGATCTCCTTCAAAGATTTGCGTCCGATGTTCATTTTTTGAGTTCTTGCGCTTTTACATTCCATTTTGTAAAAGGACAAGCTATTTCTCAAGTTCATATTCACTTTTCTTTGCCTCAGGCAGACTATAACGACTTCAATTAAATTTGGTCGCGGAAAGATTCCACCTTAATTAAATGGAGAACATTATGATGCGGACACTCGAGTCTTTTTCTTTTGCATCAATCGAAGTTCATTTTGACTTACCAATAAAGGTTTTGTGGGGAATCGGCCAACTAATTTGACCCTACATTGAGAGATTTGAAACTTACCAGAATACACTTTCTTTACGTCCTCTCGGCAGTTTTCGCCTCCCCATACCGTGTACGTTGTCTTGAACTTACTTGGTTTTGAATTTTTGGACTCTGTAGGCTTCGCGGTTTGAGCATTTGTTGTTTCACCGCTTGGTTCAGCCCGGCGCCTACTGCTTGTTGATTCAAGTGTCGGGATACTGGAGAAATTCGTTTTCCCTCTTTCATTGTTGTTTTTTAAAAAAGCTGTGTGAACTGGTATAACAAAAATGTAGGTTAGACGTTATAATCCCTGACACCAAAAATTAAAATACTTATAATCACTAACAAAGATATGAGATATAAGAGAAACAGCTAAATTTTAGGAGGTTCCATTAAGGGATACGGGCTATTATCTATATTTTTAACCTTGTTTTTGTATATCAGAAACGAAGAACCAAGGCCTGTTTTACGGTGCGGCGTGGTCTTTGAAGAAATGGTCAAACTATTCTACACAACCATTATCCAACTCTCCAGTTATATTAAGACTAACATTTTCTCTATAAAGTATACCACCCCTCCCCTCTTAAAACGATAGGGCTTCTTAATTGCATACCTCCTCTCCTATACTAGCATATAAAAAAAAACGAAGTATAAGATTCAGTGCTCCAGTGCAGGTTATCTGAGAATGTAAGCTTCAATCACGCGCACAAACTAAAAGACCAAATTCCGATGTACTAAAACTCTTACTTGGCTGTGAGACTTGAGGAATAAAACAAAAGAAATCATCTTGAGGTACAATAATGAATGATACATTTCTTTTGTTTTATTTCCCAACGCCTCGGAGCCAAGTATGAATTTTAATATATCGAAAATGGAGTATTCAGCGTTATCCAATATATTTTTGCGTCACTAAATAAAATTAATTTGCGTCCATTAGGGATATCAAAATAATGGGTGTTGTCTTGAATAGCCTTTACGGCACGTCACTCCTAGTCAAGGCGGTCCTCTTTGAGTAGATTTCTTTTGGCCACTTCCCTTATATATATATATACATCCTAAATATAATTCGATAACAACGGAGTATTTTTATGATGTACAGTCGACTCCCGACGACAACTCGAACCTTCTAGCGAGAAATCGAAAAAAGTTCGAGTTACCGGAATTTGCAGCAAAGATCCGGAAGAACATGTAAGCAAATAAGCAAAAAGATGGTGAGGGAATGCAAGTATCATGCACACTCGACAGGGATGGACATTGAATTTGAACTGGAGTAGTGGCAAAAAGAGTAAAGACAAAGAATTGACACGGTTGTTTTGAAATAAATTCAGTGCCTCGGACTTCAGTACAGTGGTACACCGTATTTTTTTTCCGACTTGTCACGCGCTTAAAACATGGTTCGAGTTATCGAAGGTAAAATTATATGGAGATAATCTGAAGGCAAACAAAAATCACTTCCAGTCAGCGGAAGGTTCGGGTTATCAAGGGTAAAATTACAGTAAATGTATGAGGCAATCCATGGGAAATCAACTTCGTTTCGACTTAGCGTGAGGTTGAGTTAGCAAGGCTTCGCGCGAGTTACCGGGAGTCAACTGTACTCATCTCAAGATAGGATCGGATCTCAAAACGTAAATACTACTTACGTTTTCCGCCAGTATGACATGGTTTTCCCCGAGCATCCTTCCCGTCTTCCGATTGGGTGCAATGTATTCTGGGATAGATCATATATTGTTCCTAAGTAAAAGACCTGATAGGTATTTTCACCAGCTATACCTGACTCTCAACGGAGAGGAGAGACTTAAAATCAGGAGCACCCAACGACAATTTTCGGAAAATATCTGTCCGGAAGACGATTTGAGATTTAGAATTTTTGGAACATTTCATTGTAAAATTTCTTGCTAGCCTGCCTCTCCTAGGATTTTCGAACATCTAAAAACTGGTATAGTTGCCCATTTTTAACGGATTTTTACCCTAAGAAGGTGACATAGAATTTTCGGGAGCCTTTTTTCCGGCTGAAATTTTTGAAAAGGTAAGTTTTCATCCCTATAATTTTCAGATCACTAGACTTTCAGCTAGGAAATCCGAACAGATGAAAAAATTTTAGGGGGATAAAAATATGCCTATATCTACCGTTTAAATACTAAAATACGTTTAACAATGCTATGTTTAAGTGGTTTTGAACTACATTCTCGTTGGGTGCCCCTGTAAAATAATGAGCCGGTGTTCGTTAAGATAGAGGTAGAAACATTTGGGATAAGAAAGAAACAACAACAACCAACAGACAAAAAACAAAACAAACAAACAAACAAAAGTCTATTACTCTCAGACATGGTCTCTCTGTTGCATCTACAAACGCGTAAATCATTTATCGAAGTAATCTGTAGCGTGACAGTCTGTTTTTGAAACATCAGAGACAACTCATTCTCGTCACCTTGATGCTTCGTGTACTACCAGATTTGCATGAGGTTATAGTTACCCCCGCTTACTTCAACAAACAAACAAAAATCGGATTTAGAAACCTCAATTTTTATCATTCTCATTATAAATAACCTCCGATTTAAGTTGTAAAAAAATAGCATGCACAGACAGAAACATTTTTTCTCTCTACTTCATTTCCTTCGAATCAAAGACAAAGAGCATTGCGTATAATAGTATATACTGTGTAAAGTAGCTGAAAAGTTTAACATTTACTGGCGAATTTAAAAATAGAAAACAAATTCCAGTCATATTTTGACTGTGGTCAACCTTCAAAACCGCAAGAGATTGAAATTGACACAACACTGGTTGAGATGGCTTTAATTCTTTCTTTTATTTTTCTTTTCCAGTTAAAAAAAATACATTTTTTTTTCATCTTATTTTAATTTCGAGAGCTAAGGAATCTTGCCCATATATACCCGGAAACACACTAAACAGTCGGGCCCAGTCTTCCCGCACAATAAGCCTAGGACAAAGGAAATATTGTTTTTTAACAGCAGAAAATTATCGCAACTAAATCACGCCTGTGCTTTGATGAGAAATCGAAGAATACAATTCTTGCAGGGTCGATTAAAAAAATGTTAATAATGCAAAATCAAAAGCGCATAATTTCAAGTGCTTGGGTTATTTTAAGGTTTATAAGCAAGGATAATTATAATAGCACCTGCTTATAGCATATCGCTTCCTCCAAAATGCATATATGATGTACGCGTTGTTTGTAGTAGCTTGCGATAATAGCATGTGATTAATTGCGAAAATCGTTATTGTGATTTCTATCAATTTTGTTCCATGTATGGCCTGTGGATACAAAGTGCCGATTAGTTCGGCCTACTAAAAGGTTTAATTACGAGCGAGATGTTCGGGATTTTAAGATGAGTTAATGATCTTATACACAAGAATAAATTAGAAATAGCCTGAAGCCCTCAGGTCCAAAATAAAACAAAAAGGGAAACAACAAAATGAAGCAACAATATCAAATAAATAACTGAGATTTAAAAGTGACTTAGTGAGAAAAATCTTACGTTCGATATGTAGCCCTTGCCCTGAAACTGTATTTAGAGATGTAGACGAATTTAGTGATGAAGTCATAAAAGTTTTATTAATGAACTGGTTGTATACAAAACTGACAGCCACAAAGACGGAACCAGCACGTGTGTTGTGATGAATATCGTGGAATGCTTTCTGTTTTAGGGGCTTTTTTCAACAACAAGAGAACATAATATAGACAAGAAGGCATTAACCACTTCTTAGCAGGATAGCAATTAAGACAAAAAAAAATGGCTTAAAATCCAGTAAAAGTCGTGTAAAAGGAGCTAGCTTGTACATAAGAAACCCTCATAATTTGAGTAAATATAAGTCATACAGTTCGCTAACAGGAACATATAAACTAATTGCGATACTCTTATCTGTAAGCGATTTTTTTTTTTCAACAAAATCTATTAATGCCATGATCCCCCTAGGGGAAAACAGCGAAATATGGAGGACACATACCTTAATTCATGGTCATGAGATTTACTTCAACATGACTAAACTTAAACATAGGACGTGCACATAAAAATTTTGAACTCCTACAGCGATGAAAATTAATTAAAATTTCAGATTGACTGAAAATTCAAAGATGGAAAAAAGGTGGCAAAGAGTTTCGCTTTGACCTCAGTGCTTATAATTTTATTCCTTCCAAATGGACTAATAGATGGAAAGACAAACTGAATCGCTACGTATAATTTAGAAATAATTTAACGATTCCTACTGGTGTAAGGAGATTTGCAAAGTCACGAACGGAGATTACAATTAAACTAAACCTTTCTACACTCATGTAACAATCCTCCCACCTTCGTTCCAGGTCAGCAATATCTTTGCGCAAAGCATCAGCCATCGACTCCAAATTTGTGATTTTATTTTTAGCCCTTTTTAATTCGGCGCTGGTTTTTCCTTGAAGGGACGCGAAAATTACAATGACAACGACCGCGCTGAAGGCCACCGCACTCCAAATGACCCACGAATTTTTTATGTTCGTGCAGCTTGCTGTGCAGGTAGAATGTTTCGGAACTTTGGCTTGACAGACGCTACGTTTATGCACCGGCTTTGGATTGTTGTCAATGAGAATCGGAACCTTAACAGTGCAATTCGTAGATGTACCAGAGTTGACGGGCATCTCCTTCGTAAAGGAGGCCTTTAACTTTGTTTCCTCTGTCTTCATGCCCAAGGTTGACACAGGCGCTTTAAGTTAAAATCGTCCGAAATATTCTAAAACCGTAAGCACAAAACGCACAGCCTTGCTATGATGACGTGTAAAAAACGCACACATAACAGAAAGCTATTCCAGCTTAAGCTCTCCAGAAAATATAAATCCCACCGAATGATAAACCACCCACAACTGCAGTGTTTTTGACAAATCAAGAGTTGGTCACGAGCTCGTTTCTTGTAACTGCTTCACCTGCTTTCAATAAAATATCCCGCGAATCACGTAATGATTCGCGACATTCACTCATCAAAACGGATAATAAACGCCCGTAGCGTGCCAGTCAACCATTTAGCAGCACATTTTATGCGACGATTTCAATTTAAACTTGACTTGTAATAAAGCGAGGTATTCACGATTGGCAAACAAATAATACGAAAAGATGAAAGGTTTTTTTTTTTTGTTTATTGCTGAGTGGGTTTGAAAGTCATTCAAAACCTTTTGGTCACTGTCGTGTAACATAAAATAATCACAGTTAAAAAATTGAAAGTTTTAGTTCACCCGGTCCAACAAATAAAATCTAAAACCTAAAACAAAATTAGAAGCAGAAAAGACGCATTCCAAAAAGTTGGGTAATTTCTAAATGAAGCCCGACCTATTGGTGGGAGAATTTTTTCTTGGTTTGATCATGTGTAGGTTTGATCAAGTGTAAATTTAACTGTAATTTAAATGAATAGTATGGATGAAAAATGTCTCACGCACATAAAATAGAGAGCTACACAATTTAACTTTAACTTGAAGGTTCCTCAGTTTTCACAGAAATAATTTTTCCAATGACGTTAAGCTTTTCTTATGGTTTTCATGAATTGCATTTTATGCAAAAAAATATCAGTGGCTATTCTAATGATGTGGTTGATTATTTACCTAGCCACGTACCAGTGGAATTAAAAACAAGCTATATCAAACTCTTCTTAATAGATTTAAAACCACATTGTAACATTTCAAAAATCTCTAAAATCGCCTACGGCATTTAGTGGGAACAAAATTAGACAAACTTCAAAATTGGTAGACAGGCCCTTTGTGTCAGTAGGGAAGTTACGCAAGGGAGTGTAAGAGCGACACACGTCAACGGGACGTAAGGCTTTTTTTTTCTCATTTAATGTACCTTGACGGTACATAATTTGTACTTCCAAGCGTCTTTACTCTTACAGAGACGATTTGCCCCCCCAAAAGGAGGCAAAACTACGGCCCAAGAATGCAAAACGTCCACTTCCGGTTAACGTGCGTCGGTCAAAAACGTCTTCGCTTGAGCCCTTAATGAAGTCTACACTTCCCCCGCTTATTGAAAGGTTTTTTAGTACTTCAAGGTAAGAAACGTAACAAAACGGAAATTGAATATTTAAAATGCCTTTTAGAAGAGGACTATGAAAACAGAATATACACTAATTGCTTAAAATTACCAGCTGGCGGCGAGTGCGCAGATGTGTCGTTAGATTTCGCCGATGGCTTTTTGAACATTTAGTCTTTCATCGATTTCCTGGATACATAAAAGAACTTAAATTCTATGCGATGTGTAAAGGCCTGCAAACTTAAAGTTTTACAAGTCAAAAGTACACATTATCATTATTTCGGTAATATTACATATCTTACACTCCAATCATATTCGTTGACAAAACGATCTTCGATTAAAATTCAAGATGATTTACGACTGAAGAAAGAATAGTATGAAATACATGTATGACAACTCGGCAGAAACATGCAATGAATGAAATCATTTTCACAGCGTCCGTCGCCTGAGGCCCGTTTCTCGAAAGTCCCGGTAAGTTTTCATGCCCGGAAAGCTGTTTTTATTTTTTTTTTTTTTCAGTTTTTTTACTGTAGGCTTCGCGGTTTGAGCATTTGTTGTTTCACCGCTTGGTTCAGCCCGGCGCCTACTGCTTGTTGATTCAAGTGTCGGGATACTGGAGAAATTCGTTTTCCCTCTTTCATTGTTGTTTTTTAAAAAAGCTGTGTGAACTGGTATAACAAAAATGTAGGTTAGACGTTATAATCCCTGACACCAAAAATTAAAATACTTATAATCACTAACAAAGATATGAGATATAAGAGAAACAGCTAAATTTTAGGAGGTTCCATTAAGGGATACGGGCTATTATCTATATTTTTAACCTTGTTTTTGTATATCAGAAACGAAGAACCAAGGCCTGTTTTACGGTGCGGCGTGGTCTTTGAAGAAATGGTCAAACTATTCTACACAACCATTATCCAACTCTCCAGTTATATTAAGACTAACATTTTCTCTATAAAGTATACCACCCCTCCCCTCTTAAAACGATAGGGCTTCTTAATTGCATACCTCCTCTCCTATACTAGCATATAAAAAAAAACGAAGTATAAGATTCAGTGCTCCAGTGCAGGTTATCTGAGAATGTAAGCTTCAATCACGCGCACAAACTAAAAGACCAAATTCCGATGTACTAAAACTCTTACTTGGCTGTGAGACTTGAGGAATAAAACAAAAGAAATCATCTTGAGGTACAATAATGAATGATACATTTCTTTTGTTTTATTTCCCAACGCCTCGGAGCCAAGTATGAATTTTAATATATCGAAAATGGAGTATTCAGCGTTATCCAATATATTTTTGCGTCACTAAATAAAATTAATTTGCGTCCATTAGGGATATCAAAATAATGGGTGTTGTCTTGAATAGCCTTTACGGCACGTCACTCCTAGTCAAGGCGGTCCTCTTTGAGTAGATTTCTTTTGGCCACTTCCCTTATATATATATATACATCCTAAATATAATTCGATAACAACGGAGTATTTTTATGATGTACAGTCGACTCCCGACGACAACTCGAACCTTCTAGCGAGAAATCGAAAAAAGTTCGAGTTACCGGAATTTGCAGCAAAGATCCGGAAGAACATGTAAGCAAATAAGCAAAAAGATGGTGAGGGAATGCAAGTATCATGCACACTCGACAGGGATGGACATTGAATTTGAACTGGAGTAGTGGCAAAAAGAGTAAAGACAAAGAATTGACACGGTTGTTTTGAAATAAATTCAGTGCCTCGGACTTCAGTACAGTGGTACACCGTATTTTTTTTCCGACTTGTCACGCGCTTAAAACATGGTTCGAGTTATCGAAGGTAAAATTATATGGAGATAATCTGAAGGCAAACAAAAATCACTTCCAGTCAGCGGAAGGTTCGGGTTATCAAGGGTAAAATTACAGTAAATGTATGAGGCAATCCATGGGAAATCAACTTCGTTTCGACTTAGCGTGAGGTTGAGTTAGCAAGGCTTCGCGCGAGTTACCGGGAGTCAACTGTACTCATCTCAAGATAGGATCGGATCTCAAAACGTAAATACTACTTACGTTTTCCGCCAGTATGACATGGTTTTCCCCGAGCATCCTTCCCGTCTTCCGATTGGGTGCAATGTATTCTGGGATAGATCATATATTGTTCCTAAGTAAAAGACCTGATAGGTATTTTCACCAGCTATACCTGACTCTCAACGGAGAGGAGAGACTTAAAATCAGGAGCACCCAACGACAATTTTCGGAAAATATCTGTCCGGAAGACGATTTGAGATTTAGAATTTTTGGAACATTTCATTGTAAAATTTCTTGCTAGCCTGCCTCTCCTAGGATTTTCGAACATCTAAAAACTGGTATAGTTGCCCATTTTTAACGGATTTTTACCCTAAGAAGGTGACATAGAATTTTCGGGAGCCTTTTTTCCGGCTGAAATTTTTGAAAAGGTAAGTTTTCATCCCTATAATTTTCAGATCACTAGACTTTCAGCTAGGAAATCCGAACAGATGAAAAAATTTTAGGGGGATAAAAATATGCCTATATCTACCGTTTAAATACTAAAATACGTTTAACAATGCTATGTTTAAGTGGTTTTGAACTACATTCTCGTTGGGTGCCCCTGTAAAATAATGAGCCGGTGTTCGTTAAGATAGAGGTAGAAACATTTGGGATAAGAAAGAAACAACAACAACCAACAGACAAAAAACAAAACAAACAAACAAACAAAAGTCTATTACTCTCAGACATGGTCTCTCTGTTGCATCTACAAACGCGTAAATCATTTATCGAAGTAATCTGTAGCGTGACAGTCTGTTTTTGAAACATCAGAGACAACTCATTCTCGTCACCTTGATGCTTCGTGTACTACCAGATTTGCATGAGGTTATAGTTACCCCCGCTTACTTCAACAAACAAACAAAAATCGGATTTAGAAACCTCAATTTTTATCATTCTCATTATAAATAACCTCCGATTTAAGTTGTAAAAAAATAGCATGCACAGACAGAAACATTTTTTCTCTCTACTTCATTTCCTTCGAATCAAAGACAAAGAGCATTGCGTATAATAGTATATACTGTGTAAAGTAGCTGAAAAGTTTAACATTTACTGGCGAATTTAAAAATAGAAAACAAATTCCAGTCATATTTTGACTGTGGTCAACCTTCAAAACCGCAAGAGATTGAAATTGACACAACACTGGTTGAGATGGCTTTAATTCTTTCTTTTATTTTTCTTTTCCAGTTAAAAAAAATACATTTTTTTTTCATCTTATTTTAATTTCGAGAGCTAAGGAATCTTGCCCATATATACCCGGAAACACACTAAACAGTCGGGCCCAGTCTTCCCGCACAATAAGCCTAGGACAAAGGAAATATTGTTTTTTAACAGCAGAAAATTATCGCAACTAAATCACGCCTGTGCTTTGATGAGAAATCGAAGAATACAATTCTTGCAGGGTCGATTAAAAAAATGTTAATAATGCAAAATCAAAAGCGCATAATTTCAAGTGCTTGGGTTATTTTAAGGTTTATAAGCAAGGATAATTATAATAGCACCTGCTTATAGCATATCGCTTCCTCCAAAATGCATATATGATGTACGCGTTGTTTGTAGTAGCTTGCGATAATAGCATGTGATTAATTGCGAAAATCGTTATTGTGATTTCTATCAATTTTGTTCCATGTATGGCCTGTG